TTTTCCATCATGCAGGATGAGACTCGGAAAGTGTTTGAAATCTGTCAGCCTGAGCTGGGAGATTAGTGGGGCAATGAGGATATCGTCAAGTATTCCATTAAGTACTCATCAACTCGGGAACTTCAAAGATTTTCTTCCAGCATTGCTGGAGTTACTATCACTTGGGAATGGTCTCAAAATAGTTCATTCCATCACAGGAGAAATGGAACTCTTATGAAGAATTCTCCATCATACTAGAACGGGGTCTAGAGAACTTATACATAAGAAACAGAGGAAAATAAAAAGGAATAGAAAGGAATGTAGATGTAATGTATCTACCTTCAACCTGTTTTTTTAGTTAAATTTTGTTACACGAGCCGGTGACGATGATTTGTTGCTTGTTCACGCTCTGTTCACGCTCTGTTCACGCTTGTTCCGCTCTGTTCACGACTCTGTACGCCTGTCACGCCCGGTGGCGAACGAATTTGCAGAATCTGGTTCAATCCTTCAAAATGATTTTGTGTATTAATTTTACTTACAAACAGATGATGTAGCTGGTCACGCTCGATGACGCTTGACGTGCGTTCACAATGAGACTTTTCGTTCAATTAGGGATTTACTCAACAATAGAAGAGTGGTTTCATCAACCATCACTGACTGTGGAACGTTTGGTGCTGGTTGTCTACACGTGGCGTCAATAAGACAGAAACTCCAGTTATGTCTCTGTGATTACCTGGACCAAAACAATTACAGACGCAATAATGGTAGAATTACAAACACAATGTAGGGTAAATGGACGCAGATGCAACTAATATGACATATAATTGTGGCAACATTTCGCTCTCCAAGAGCTTTGTCAAACCGTAACTGCTAAACAAAGCTCCTAGAAAGAGAAACGTTGCCATAAACTGCATCTGTGTCCATTTAGCTAACAGTCACAGAGCCATAGATTCCCGATGACTGTCGGAGAGCAAGTGTGACTGCTGTTACTCGGGGACTCGCTGCTGGCAGATGAAGGTTACACCAAACAGTTAAGCAGTGCCAGGCACTCGACATGCAAGCCCAGCTTTTATTTTCCAGGCAATAACTTGGATTAAGCAACACATCATTGACTAGCTGATCCCTGGCTCTCCTGACCCTCCTGACCCTCCTGGCCCTCCTGGCCCTTCTGGCTCTCTGGCCCTCCTGGCTCTCCAGTCATCGTCTTCATAACAATAATTTCAACACAAAAATGTGCATTAATTTTCAGTTCGTTCACGAGTATTAATTACCTTGGCTTTATATTATTAATATTAACATAAAAAACATACCACGGGCGGGGCTTGAACCCGCGGTAGAGCCGTAAAACTTCAGACTGACGCGATAGCCACTGGTTAATGCGTCGGTCTGGAGTTTTACGACACACTACTGCGGGTTCAAACCCCGTCCATGGTATGGTTTGTTTGCAATCGTGTCATTGCGATTTCGTGAATCATAACATTAACACAAGGAGAAACACTGCAGCAGGCCTACTGGCCCATACTTGGCAAGTTTACAAACCCACCAAAAATATTCATCCCAACCCATTATCAATGTTATCCAAGAAATAAGCTTTGATAACCCTATTAACTAAAGTTAATAGGTCTAATAGGGAGTACCAAATTTAAAAGGGTCATAAAGAGCCTGAAGAAGAGAAAATTGATCCAAGGCGAGGGATTGAGAAGTTGTGTTTCAGAAAACAATATATATCTCCATCAATATCTTCGACGGGGATGCCTTGATTCCGGGGAAGAGCTCTTGATCCAAAGAATCAGAGCTACCCTTTCCCTCCTCGGATCAAATTTCATTGCTTTCCATTCCTCGGTCGCTGCATGACTCTTATGGGTTTAGCGCTTCTCATGAATATAATTTGTCATCAGTAACACCAGTAATCAGTTTTGATCCAAGGAAGGGAAGATAGCTTTAATTCCTTGGATCAAGAGGCCTCCTCAAGCCACGAAATAGCCTGTTAGCATCATTACAGGATTTAAAATCCCTCCAGATTAATGGAATATAACAGGAAGAAATACCAGAATTTGTTTCTGTAATCACATTTATGTATAATAAAGTAGCAATACTCTTAGTGTTGCTAAAATCTAACTCTCATACAGAGAAGTGCAGCAACACACTGTTGGTGTTGCTACAATGCAACTCTCACACAGTAGTGTAGCAACACACTGTTAGTTGCCACAATCTAACACACAGTAGTGTAGCAACACACTGTTAGTTGCCACAGTGTAACTCTCACACAGTACTGTAGTAACACACTGTTAGTTGCCACAGTGCAACTCTCACACAGTAGTGTAGCAACACACTGTTAGTTGCCACAGTGCAACTCTCACACAGTAGTGTAGCAACACATTGTTAGTTGCCACAGTGTAACTCTCATACAGTAGTGTAGCAACACACTGTTAGTTGCCACAGTGCAACTCTCACACAGTAGTGTAGCAACACACTGTTAGTTGCCACAGTGTAACTCTCACACAGTAGTGTAGCAACACACTGTTAGTTGCCACAGTGCAACTTCACACAGTAGTGTAGCAACACACTGTTAGTTGCCACAGTGCAACTCTCACACAGTAGTGTAGCAACACACTGTTAGTTGCCACAGTGCAACTCTCACACAGTAGTGTAGCAACACACTGTTAGTTGCCACAGTGCAACTCTCACACAGTAGTGTAGCAACACACTGTTAGTTGCCACAATGAAACTCTCACACAGTGTAGCAACCACTGTTAGTGTTCCATCACGTAATTCTGTCGACACTTCTAGCTGATGATATGGAAGAAATTTGCCCTGATGTTCGGTGCGTCGTGACGCAGAAAATAATGCTAAAATTACAGTTACTCTCAAACGACAAAGTCTCTTTTGTTATAGCAAATTGAATCAATTATCCCGTCTCATGCAAATAATCAACATATATTATCAGAATCTCTGGCCTGAAAATTTGCAGCTTTTTCATGCCCTAGAAATGTACAATTCTGAAGTCCGGAGGAGACTGTAGCGTCCTCCAACCTTCCCGTATATGTCATGTCATAGGCGGTTGCTAAATTACCAGCAGTGTGTTACTGCTAATGCAGCAGCACACTGCAGCTCTCCCACTAAGTGACAAGCGTAGTTAGTACAAGTGTTCCCACCATGTTAGTGTCACACAGAGTAGACTCGTCGCACACTGGTGTTCCTACCATGTAACTGGGCAGCAGTATAGGATAGCAGCACACAGCGAATGTTTCCACTGTATGTACTAGGTTATCCCATGTGCATACATACTCCTGGCACTCACTGAAGCCATCTTAATTAATTCTGGTTACTCCAGCGGGTCTAGTCCGTGGCTAGTCTAGCAGTCCTATCCCCTGCAAGTGCAACCAACGTCAAGTGCATTTGACAGCTAGTAGCTATTAATACGAGCTTCTCCAACAATATTTAACACCTAACTCTGCCGCCATCAACATTATGCGTCCTGACGCGCGCGCAACAACAACACACCACACAAAACCACACACACAACCACACACACACACAACACACACACACACACACACACACAAACCTCACACTACGAACTTCACTCAAGGAAAAAGATCTTGGGGTGAGTATAATACCGAGCACATCTGAGGAGTGCATCAATCAAATAACTGCTGCAGCATATGGGCGTCTGACAAACCTAAGAAGAGCGTTCCTATACCTCATTAAGGAGGTATCCACACCTGGTGAAGCACGTCAAAAAATAGAGAAATTGCAAAGTTTTGAAACAAGACTAGTCCCAGAGCTAAGGGGATTGTCATATGAAGAAAGCTTAAGGGAAATCGGCCTGACGACACTGGAGGACAGAAAGGTCAGGGGAGACATGATAACGGCATATAAAATACTGCGAGGAATTGACAAGGTCGACAAAGACGGGATGTTCCAAAGATGGGACACAGAAACAAGGGGTCACAATTGGAAGCTGAAGATTCCTACAAGTCAAAGGGATGTTAGGGAGTATTTATTCAGTCAGAGTTGTCAGGAAGTGCTAGCAAGTGACGTAGTGGAGGTTTGATAAAGCTCATGGTGCAGGGAGAGATAGGACCTTGTAGCAATCAGTGAAGAGGCTGGGCCAGGAGCTATGACTCGGCCCCTGCAACCACAAATAGTTGAGTACAAATATGCGAGTACACACACACACACACACACACACACACACACACACACACACACACCACACGTATTTTCGCGATGCCAGGCGCCTTTTACATTCAGGCTAACCTGGTGAGAAAATGAGGCTACGAGTCGAAAATGAGTTCTTACTCGTACTCTACTTGTTTATGTACCTACTCGTACTCTACTTGTTTATGTACCTACTCGTACTCTACTTGTTTATGTACCTACTCGTACTCTACTTGTTTATGTACTACTCGTCTCTACTTGTTTATGTACCTACTCGTACTCTACTTGTTTATGTACCTACTCGTACTCTACTTGTTTATGTACCTACTCGTATTCCGTTTTGTTTAGATAAAAATAAACATACGATAAAACTAAGCACATCATAATTACATTAGGTAAAGGAACACCTCTGCAACCAATGCAACAAAGCTCCTGCAGAGCGAAACGTTGCCACAGTGAAACATCACACTAGTTGCATCTGTGTTCATTTACCTGACATGTTGCTGGTAATTCTATCATAAATAATTACCTTTATATAACTACTCTGAGGATTATTCCAGGAAATAGTTATACTAGAAACATTTAAAAATAGCGTTAAATAATAGTCTACAACACAGCAACTCACTATGCAAATTTCAAAAGAAATCAGAAGGAAAAGTGAGTTAGGTTAGGTTAAGTTAGGTTATGTAAGGTTTGTCAGGAAACAGATTAAGTGTTTTCTGATGTGGGTTTTAGTCAAATAATCCGCAGCTGGAGCTTCTGGTTATTTGGCTGAGGCCTTCTACTGGCTTACCCGTCCACCCCTTTAAAAATTAAGATTATAATCGTAATCATTAACATGTGCGTTGTCCCTGCAGATGCACCTGTGTGTAGGACCCCTCAGATGTCCTACCATGGAGCTGCCAGGTATGAGCAAGTTAACATTCCATGCTACCTGGACGCTTATCCACCACCTGTCTCCTTTAAATGGACTTTCAACAACAGTGGGGAGAGCGCTGACATCCCCAAGGTGAGCCAGTCCTCTCCAACACTTTAACTAATCAGGGACAGAGGTGTGATTAGCTAACAGACGTTCGAGCCTACACTCCTTTCCCTGAATGACCCACGTAGGATTACCATATCATGAAATGTACTAAAATAAAATTACCTCAATTGAGCTTGCACTAGTTAATGACTAAGCAGTGAAAGATGTGTTGAAGACTCGATCTTCCGAGAGACTGAATCTGTCTGCCTGTCTCTCTCACACACACACACACACACACACACACACACACACACACACTTAGAAGAGGTATGATAAAGCTCATGGAGCAGGAAGAGTGATCTAGTAGTTACCTAGTGAAGAGGCGGGGCCAGAAGCTGTGACTCGACCCCTCCAGCCACAACTAAGTGAGTGACTAGGTGAGTAAACACACCTACACAGAGATAAAGTACCAAGAATTCTCTCTCTCTCTCTCTCTCTCTCTCTCTCTCTCTCTCTCAGACTAAAGTACCAAGTGTTCTCTCTCTCAGGAGCACGTCCAGGCACTGGAGTCAGGATCAACAGTCAGCTACACTCCTAACAATGAGCTGGATTATGGCACTCTCCTGTGTTGGGCCACCAACGCTGTGGGACAACAACGACGACCTTGTGTCTTCCATGTCTTCCCTGCTGGTGAGTACTTTAATGTTTTGTTCAGTGTCTTACCATCTTACTGAGAATCTTACCGATTGTCTTAAGGTTCCTGTACCTCGGTTGGTAGCGCACTGAACTCACGCAGTGAGTGTCGGTGGTTCGATCTCCGGTACGGGTGGGAACACTGGGAGTGTTTCCTTAAGCCACCTGCTGTCCATATTCACCTAGCGATAAGTAGGTACCTGGGTGTTAGCCACCTCACACCTGCTGCCTCAGTTCAACTAATAGTAAGCAGGTGCCTGGGTATTAGTCACCTTACATATTTCTCCCCCCTTCATCTAGTAGTAAGTAGGTACCTTGTTGTCAGTCACCGTACATCTACTGCCCTTGTTGACCTAGCAGTAAGTAGGTACCTGGGTGTTAACCGACTGGTGTGGGTCGCATCATGGGGACAAAATTAACCTAAGTTGCCCGAAGTGCTCTGAATAACAAGTGGCTTTCTATATAGTAGTATGTTATTGATCTTAGCTACTGTGTGTATAGTTATGTCATGCACATGTAGATATAAATATTATATATTATTATTATTATTATTATTATTATTATTATTATTATTATTATTGTATTTCTGATGCCTTAATGTCTTACTATCTTGCTGACTCTCTTACTATTTTGCCGAGTGTCTTACTATCTTGTCGAGTGTCTTACTATCTTGTCGAGTGTCTTACTATCTTGCCGAGTGTCTATCTTGCTGAATGTCTTACTATCTTGCTGAGTGTCTTACTATTTTTCTGAGTGTCTTACTATCTTGTCGAGTGTCTTACTATCTTGCTGAGTGTCTTACTATCTTGTCGAGTGTCTTACTATCTTGCTGAGTGTCTTACTATCTTGCTGAGTGTCTTACTATCTTGTCGAGTGTCTTACTATCTTGTCGAGTATCTTACTATCTTGCTGAATGCCTTACTATCTCGCTGAGTGTCTTACTATCTTGCTGAGTGTCTTACTATCTTGCCGAGTGTCTTACTATCTTGCTGAGTGTCTTACTATCTTGTCGAGTGTCTTACTATTTGTGAGTGTCTTACTATATTGCTGAATGTCTTACTATCTTGCTGAGTGTCTTACTATCTTGCTGAGTGTCTTACTATCTTGCTGAGTGTCTTACTATCTTGCTGAGTGTCTTACTATCTTGTTGAGTGTCTTACTATCTTGTTGAGTGTCTTACTATCTTGTCGAGTGTCTTACTATCTTGCTGAGTGTCTTACTATCTTGAGTGTCTTACTATCTTGTCGAGTGTCTTACTATCTTGCTGAGTGTCTTACTATCTTGTTGAGTGTCTTACTATCTTGCTGAGTGTCTTATTATCTTTCTGAGTGTCTTACTATCTTGCTGAGTGTCTTACTATCTTGCTGAGTGTCTTACTATCTTGTTGAGTGTCTTACTATCTTGTCGAGTGTCTTACTATCTTGCTGAGTGTCTTACTATCTTGTTGAGTGTCTTACTATCTTGTTGAGTGTCTTACTATCTTGTCGAGTGTCTTACTATCTTGCTGAATGTCTTATTATCTTGCTGAGTGTCTTACTATCTTGCTGAATGTCTTACTATCTTGTCGAGTGTCTTACTATCTTGCTGAGTGTCTTACTATCTTGCTGAGTGTCTTACTATCTTGCTGAGTGTCTTACTATCTTGTTGAGTGTCTTACTATCTTGTCGAGTGTCTTACTATCTTGTCGAGTGTCTTACTATCTTGTCGAGTGTCTTACTATCTTGTCGAGTGTCTTACTATCTTGCGAATGTCTTACTATCTTGCTGAGTGTCTTACTATCTTGCTGAATGTCTTACTATCTTGTCGAGTGTCTTACTATCTTGCCGAGTGTCTTACTATCTTGCTGAGTGTCTTACTATCTTGTCGAGTGTCTTACTATCTTGCTGAATGTCTTACTATCTTGCTGAGTGTCTTACTATCTTGCTGAATGTCTTACTATCGGTTGTCGAGTGTCTTACTATCTTGCCGAGTGTCTTACTATCTTGCTGAGTGTCTTACTATCTTGCTGAGTGTCTTACTATCTTGCTGAGTGTCTTACTATCTTGCTGACTGTCTTACTGTGCAACACTTGGGTATCTTCAGCCTCTAAATGTTCATTATGTCCAGTAATTATTCATTTCTCTCATAATTATCCGGAAAAATATCCATTTTGCTTTCTTCTCTCTAATAATTAATTGTTCAATTTATCTTCTAATTTTTCTTTCGACATCTAATTATCTATCAACACTAAATTTTCTACTGTTTTCCTAATTATTCATCCTGCTAATTATTCATCCTACTCATTATTCATCTTGCTAATTATTCATCCTGCTAATATTTGTGTGATAAGCAGATTCATTGATTCAATTAAAACTTCTCCAGTAAATATAACTTTGATTTCGCTGACTATAAATTATTTACGAGAGTGACGTAAGTATTCCTATAAATTTACAACAGTAAGTATTCCTATAAATTATTTACAACAGTGACGTAAGTATTCCTTTAAATCATTTATAACATTGATGTTACCTGCATTTTTTATTAAAAACATTGATGTCTGTTGTTGCATATTTCATTATAACCTTGATTTTAGTTGATCTATATTTCGTTCAAGTTAAATTATCGTGAAACTCAAATTTTTCGATAATTTGTTAACATATATGAAGAATTTTTGTCTATGTGCTGGACAAGACAAATATCTCGAGTGTCACGGGGAAAATTTGAAAGATTTCCAATACATTTTTGAGTTAGAGAAGCAGCGTCTTGGAAATGTAAATGACACATCTTGGTAAACTATCGTCAGCCTGGCTGGTCAGCCATCATGGAGGAGTTGCTTTCTTGAGCAATTGTGTGAGTGGCAGCAGTGCTGGAGGCTCGATCTTCAGTCTGATATCACAGGATTCTAGCAACTAGCTCGTCAGTTACCTTTATTTTTCTCTAGTATCATAGATGATTTTGTTGCAGCAGGGGTTCCCCTCCTAGGCCTGCTCCAGTACCAGGCCTACTGGTTGGTAGAGAGATGTTTTAGGCAATTGTTGCTTGTAGCTCGGCTGGTTTTTATGAGATCAGCTGATAAACAGCTGTCTTGGGAAGACTCTCAAGTTCCCTCTTGAAGACAGGAATCTATTAAAAATCTCTCTTATAAGGTGCCCCGTAGCTCGGTTGGTAGCGCACTCAGCTCACACATTAAGTGTCGGGGTTCAGTACCCGGTACAGGTGGATTCTTTGAGGGAGGGGTTCCTTAAGACATCTGTCCCTGTTCACCTAGCAGTAAGTAGGTACCTGGGTGCTAGCCAACTGGTATGGGTCGCACCCTGGAGACAAAATTAACCCTGGTTACCTGATATGACTTGCATAAGTATGGGCTTCTATGTAGTATTATTTATGTTGACTAGGTCTGTGTAAGTTGTATCAAGTACTTGTTAAAGTAATAATAATTATTAGTATTATTATTATATGAAGAGATGATGCTGAAGTCGTGTATTTATATTAATAGTTAGACTCTTGTGAGTCACTCAGCATAGAAATGTCTGAGCTTCAGTTATTTGACTGTTCACTCTGATACATAATCTACCTACCTTTTTCCTGAGGCGAACCATAGCGTAAATATTTCATAACCTGAAGTATCTGTTCACGACGTGGCAAGAAGAAATCGAAGCTTACGTAGTGTGTATTGACCATTTCTTGGTTCCTTTCCAGTTGTTTGTCTTGTGTGTTTGTTCGTGCGAGTTGGTTACTCTTAGTTCTCTCTTGAATGTCATTACTTTTATTTGAGGAGATTGCTGAGTGATCTTTCAAGTCTGAATGCTCTTTAAATCTCTCATTGCTGTTCCTCCTCCTTCCCACTTAACTCTATTGTACATGAGATCACGTAGGAAAGACAAATGAGAGTCCATACTGAAGCTCTCTGCTTTGGTGAATCATCTGCATCTATCTTGATTAATGTCTAACGTGTATTATTTAGGTATTTGAGGCAAGAATAGTTAAATAAAAGGTGTCTCCCCATTCTTCAGTGCCTCGTTCCGTTTCAAACCACACTGAAAAAAGGCACACAAACACATACACGCTCGCATATACAACAGGCCTTGTGTCTAATGGACATGTGCCTAGGACAAAATGATAACTAACACACACATTCCATTGAGTTCTGCAACACAGTGGAGACGATATCTACAGAGATTAAGAAGTAGGAGTTATGAGCTATTGCTGCTGAAGCAAAAGTGCAGAGCCTGGCAGATGAACCGGAAGTACTGAAGCAGAATACAGAGGCGAGGACTGATAGCAGAAAGATGCTGGGTGCAGGAAAATTAGTGGACAGTGAAGGGACTGAAGGAGAGGCAAGAGGAAAGAAGAACGTTGAAGAATTGATACCAGGCCACCGGGACGTTTGAGAGATAAGGGAAACAACCAAGGAGATACTTAAATCAGACCCAGAGATGTGGAGGGAAATGAAATAGGAAGAAGAGAGGGAGAGATCACTTATTATTCATGGTCTCCATGAGGCAGAAGATAAAACCTACGAGGAAAGAGTAAAGGAGGCGGTAAGAGAGACTGAGAGCGTAATCACAGTAACAGAAGACAAGGCCCAACTGACAAGTTTTCAGAGACTTGGATGGTACTAGAGGGAAAAAGAACCTCTAAATATAATTCACAGTCAAGACAGAAATGGTACGAAACAATATCCTGCAGAGGAATTCACAGTTAAAGGATTTCCCAAAATATCAACGAGTGTACCTCAACCATGACAGAAAACAAAAAGAATGTGAGGAACTAAGAAACAGAGTAACAAAATGAGACAGAGCAGGTACCAACAGAAACGGGAGTGCAGCCTCAGGGGAAACAGCAAAAACAACTGCTCAAAGAATCACACACAGCATATATAAATAACAAAAAAGGCACAATACCGTGACTGGAACGATACACAAATAACCCGCACATAAAGAGAAAGCTTACGACGACGTTTCGGTCCGACTTAGACCATTTACAAAGTGACTTTGTAAATGGTCCAAGTCGGACCG